CTTGCTGGGATGAGTGTGCATTGAGGATGCATGCTTGAGCTATGGCATGTGGGATGATGGTTGGCATCCAGAGGGGGAGTTTGTTGAGTGATGCTACCATTCGCATTCACGTCTGTCTGCCTCCCATCATATGTTCGTGCGTTGCATGCGTGTTGTGAGTGTGTGCAAGAATTTGTGTTTTGTGCGGTTTGGTTTTTCTGAGTGTGTGTGTGAATGTTATTTGGCTTGAGCAGATATCTGAAGTGACTCCTCTGCTCAAGAGCTTTCCGAGGAACCAAGTATCGCTTCAATCGGAGCACGAACTAGAAAGTTACGAACGTTGGAGTTCGTATGCTTTTGATATTTGGTTGTGGTGACTATGGGAAGTTGTGGGGTTGACTCAATATGGGGTACAGACTTTTGGGGGTTGGGAAATTCGTCTTTTCTACTGTAGTTGCTGCCAAATGGTTGGGAGAAACCAAACCAGGTTGGCAAGTGTGGCCAAGTTGGGTTGAGGTGGATTGTGGAGGTTGGGATAGTGACAAAGGTCAAAGTTGGGTTGCCTATGGGGAAGGGAATTGTATGGCATGGGGTTTCCTTGGTTGGGGACTCTCTTGGGACCTTCCCTCTCGTCCTCCTCATCCCCTCCTACCTGGTTCTATTGCTACTCTAACTTTCTTGTGTGAACTTGTGAGATCATTGTGATTGAGTTACGTTTTCTATGGCAGCATACCCCCTAGTGCGCCGAAGTTCATAACTCGAGTTATACTCCATATTCTGATACTATTCAAATTGGGAAAGATAGCCACGGTTAAGGGCTACAACATACTCGAGTTTGAAAGAATTCTAACAGTGGACCTTTCGTCGACGACGTTTCTTGTGACAACGACTTTTCTGTCCAGAATTGTAGTTGACGATTTTGAGATATTTCAGCCCCTAATCTTCATAGACTCCGTCCTTAATCTCTAACACTTACGAGCAATGCCCGGCTGCGGATGCGACGGAGACGATTGGTCACATCAGCAGCCTTGTGGACGGGCCTCGCTTGTGCCAGCGCCGCACCCAATAGCCTGCAGACTTGTGCTAGATCAAACGTTGACACATCGTCTTAACAGGCTAAGCATGCATAACGCATCATTGGAGGTGCGCGAAGGACTCACCGGTTGATGTGTCGGAAGACGTCGAATGCCATGGCGACGTGGATCCTAGTTGAATTGTAGAGCACAGCCTGTGGACCCTCAGCCTCTTGTGCGCTAAGCTCTTCATCAGACTTTAAAAGCAACCCAGGGTCCTTCACGACGACCAGGCTTGTGTGCTTCGGGTTAGGGTACCTGCCACACAGGGTCAATATGAGATACATGTGCATGGGTACTTTCCCTAATGATCCAGACATGCTACACAAGCCGTACTCACTTGGATGTTACCACTATGCATACGTAGTCGTATTTGAACAAGGACTCGCTCCCGATGCCGCACATTAAATTCTCGCTACACGCCGACTGGTACACCGGGGTTGCCAGTGCAACCCAAGTGCTCCCCGTAGGTAGCAGTGGATGCATGATGCTCAGAACGCTACGAGAAGAAGGGGAAATACATTAGCACCAGAACTACTTCGCCCGTCCACTGCGTACAGAGTCGCATTGACTACTCACACGCTGTGGAAATCAATGGTTGTCGCTGGAATCTCACAGCCGTCTCTAATGCCAAGCGCATCAACCATCGTCACGTTGGCGCTCTGCCCAATCTGATTCGTGATCAATGGGGTCGGAAAGTGCTCGCTCGTAATGCGGCAGGTAATACTGTGCTACCCAAAGATGACCCAGGCACGGATTTCGCGAAGATGGACACTATGTCGTCGGGTTCGGGCGGCCTCTTCTCCACCACAGCTGTGACGGGGACTTCAAACTTTACCGCACGCTGTTCCGATTTCTTGGTCGCGCCTGGATCACGCTTCGCTCCACTCATTCGCCCGCTTTTCCTCGACGCCATATGAGGGTCGATGAAAGCGAGTCAGGGTAGAGGAGTTGTCCTTACCGAGAGTTACAAGTTAAAGGGTTGGCTAGCGGTGCATGAGTAAAAGCCTACAAGCCTGCTAGTGGAGTTATAAAGTGCGCCGGTGAAATAATGGTGGTCTCTAACAGGGCATGTGACGGGATGTTGACCAGATGCTAGTGATGTGACAACGAAATACCTGAAATGTACCTTCGCGCTTGGCCTTGTAATTCTACTAGTGGGGGTGTTGACCTGAGAGGTGGAAGAGTCGCGTGTCTCTGGTGAGACAAATGACGGGACGTTCACCACCTGCTTGTGATGTGACAGCGACAACCATAGTACAGTATCGTTACGATCCAACCTGTCACGACGGCCACCTGGCAACCTCTAATAAGCTCGGGGTCACGCCGATAGCCAATGAGAAGCGTTATGTAGTTGTCGTCCCCCTCACGCGGGATTGACAAGAAACATTAAACTTGTACCAGTAGCTATACGCGACAATAGTGGTTATATGCGTTCGGTATAAAATATGTGTAGTGTGCCACACGCAAAAGCCCTAAACACGCGGTGTAAAAATTATGCGTACTCATCACGGAATAAATTAGGCTTCGCACCAGCGCACCTAATCTACATTTGGATGTTCCGACACAACATGAGTGTTGACACGAGTACCAATGATTGAAACATTGCAGTGCACTCCTAATCGGTGCTAAGTCGTTTCGAATTCCACTGCCTATACATACTAGTGATATCTGCTTGTTTGGCAGCCTATACAATCCAGCGTGAAGATCTAGGGTACAATAGGAATGCCTCAGAAGTGTGTTGACCATCTAGTCCCGGATATATTCTAGTCGGATAAAGCAGCACGAGCTCGGTTGCTAATGACAGGTGTTTGTCTGGACCTGCATCAACGCTTAATTATGCTTTCCAACTGTTGGGCTGAGAAAAGCCCTTAGGATCTTTACAGGACTAAACTCTGGATAGGGATGATGTAATAGCGGAAGCTTTAGTGAAGTGTTTGAACCATCTTGCGCTAGTATGTGAGGGCAAAGTAGATTGATTAAAACAAAGGGATACAAGCTTTTATAAGATTACAAGGGAATATGAACAGTTATAACTAATAACTGTTTTGCTGTTGCTGTTGCGGTTCGATAAAGTGACGACTCGGGCAACTGCTCAATAACGAGTCAGTTGTTTGTCCTTGCTGTCGCGCTGTATTTGTCAAGTCAAAGGTCGCTGACCTTTGACTTTCGCGTAACCTGCAGCAGTTGCTCAACCTCTGAGGGTTGACTCGCCGATGCTTCGATATGTTCTGCTTCGCTTATGACTTAGTGTTTCGATACGACAGAGGCGCTTAAGCCAATTGTTTAGGAATGCCTCATTAGTGTGTTGACCATCTAGTCCCGGATATAGTCTAGTCGGATAACATGTTGGACGATACATTTGGAGTTTACGATCTCGATTGCTGGAGTTACCCCCCTCTTGTTTATCACAGATGTCCATGGTTATTCTTATCTGATAGGATAGGTGGGTTTATGAACTTTTTTAATAGTACAGGCCATCATATTGGAATATGTATATCATTCGGTGGTCACTCGCTAATACCGCGCGATGCCGAAAGCGAATACGCAATGGCTATCAACTATCCGATGGTGACAAACTTGTAACGACTCAGTGATGCCTTCTCAAGTGTATCGCGGGTGGTTACTTTACTTCAGCCGTAAGCATTTTACTCTCGTCGTGTCAAGGTTCGCTTAGTGCGAGAGTTTCCAGTTCCTGTTTTGGTACTTGGTCTTTACTAGGGTTCCACTCGTGTCATTCGTATACGTGGCGGGCACCTAATCGACCGTGGGTAGGTATAGTGAGTGTGTGGCGGAACATTTACGATGCACCCACTTATTGAAGGCCTGTGACGCGTGGGTTTTACACCTACGGTGTACCAGGTGGTCTTGATGTTGAAACGGCACACAGACGTGTCAACGACTGCATTCTCGATGTCGTTTGTCTCCAGTGTTTACGGCATGCTTGCAGCATTCTCGCTGGATCGTGGTTTGTTCTTGGTGAGTATCTCGTGAGCCCCTCACCTTCAACCTTTCACTCCAGACGATCCTAGAAGTTGGGATACGCGGATCACGCTTCAAAGCCGTGGCGATATTCACCCTAGTGTTGTAATGTTTCAGGTTTTTTTTGGGATTGCCCCTACGTTTCTAAATTTGCGGCAGATGGTTGGTGGATACGATACGACTCAAAGTGTAAGTTCCTCACGCGCCGTTGTTTACGAGTAGGACTCCACTCTGTTTTTTTTGTTCTTTTTTTTATAGCACTGAACGTAACATCACTGGTTTTCCGAAAGGCCTTTACCACTGAGAGTTGATTTTAGCTATTCTTTGCGCTCAATATTCGGACGTGGCCTTTACTAGGTTGTACTCGTGTTGTACTGATACGTGGCGTGCGACGGTGCGATCTGACGTCAAAACGGTGATTGTGTGGTGCAAACATTTACGAAGCACCCACGTCTTGATGGCCGATGCCACGTGGGCTGTGCACGTATAGTCTACCATGGAGACGAGGTGCAGTTGTCATCGACTGAACTCTCACTGCTGTTTGGCGGCGGTGTTTACGGACTGCATACTGCACACCTGCGGTTTCGTCGTGGTGTGTTTATGGTGAGCTTCGCGTGGGGCCCGTACCGAAAACTGTTCGCGCCCCATGATCCCTGCACCAGGGTTACACGAAACCCACACCGCTGCTTTGCGGACGTGATTTAAGGTGTTACGTAATATTTACGACCCTTTTACGATGCGAACACCTGTCGAAAAGACGCATGGGTCACGGATGTTTCACTGGTGGTTTGCGGAGTGTTTAATGTTGACGTTAAAAGAGGAGATACTAGTGTGACCCTGCGCATTACAATTGCCACCGATGTCTTTTACTAATACTTGATTATTAAAAAACCGTGTCATCCGTTGACATCCTAGTGGAACTATGTGTATGTTTCCAATAGAAGCATGTGTATCAGTGAGCGGGCATTATGCCACACTGAGAAAGTGGATGCCAACCCTACACACACTAGGAGTGAAACATACACAGTTTGCACAGCGGGGTTTTGAAGCAGAAAGCACTGTGAGGGAGGCAAAGGGTCCCATCCACACACCCACATCCAGTCATGAAGCCATGCTCTATGCATCCATAAATCTTGATCCCTCCCGTTCACTTGCAGGCTCCACCCCGGAACTCTCTTCACCTCCCGTTCTTGCTGTCTTGTCGGGCCGAGCATCAGTCTCACCCAAGGTCAGCTGGAGTGCCGCTCTCTTACGATCTGCCTTGCGCATTTTCTCGTCATACTTTGCCTTTGCTGCCGGCCAATATTTCCTCCACTCCTCCCACATCTGCCAGAACTTCATTCGGGCCATAATGTCACACTGGGTTGGCGTACACCCTTGAAGCTTTGCTTTGTCCTCGGCAGTCAATGGTATGAGTTCGCCCCGCGTTGGGTTGTCAATGAACATCACATGCGAAGCGGCGGCTATTGACCTGGCCGCATCGACCTCAGATCCAAAGTGGCTGTTGATGACAATCAGCGACTGCGATGAGCGGTCCAGGACGATCCTTGCGATCCACTCGTCCTTGCCCTGCTTTTTTGTGACGCCCGTGAACCCCCTGGAGGCGGCCTCCTCGCCGTGCTCGCCTCCTTGGGTCGAGGGCGGCATAGAAGTGGAGGCTGCTGGGGAGGGCAGTACCGATTGCGACCCCTGCACGAGACCAGAGAGCATGCCCGATAGAGCCAAACCACGAGAGGCGGATGTGTGTCCATGTAGGCCACTGACATTGTCGAGCGCCTCATCAGCTACGAGGAAAGCTCCAGAATCATGAACGAGGAGGCGATGCGACGACAACGGCAGTTGCACGTTAGCGTGGTGCTGTCCAGAACCGAGGTAAAGCACGTTCGGAGGTTGCAGAGCATGGCCAATTGGCCCAGATGGCACGGCGGATGTAGCGGGGACCGGCTGATCACCACCTGCATATGGAGCATAGCCTACCGCACATGGTGGTTGTGCTCCCTGGATATGCATCCCGGGTGGAAAGGCACATGGAGCAAAAAACTGCTCGCCTGAGGACCAAGCAGAGGAAACCCGTTTGAACAACAGCTGCCCTTGCAGTCTCATCGGCCGCTTCCGACCGTACAGCATCCTGCACCAGCACACCTGGATGAAATATGGTGTGTTTCGTGTGCGGTCCCCCTATATCCCAGGCATTGTTGCTTGGCTGAACCACAGCTGCGTTCATAGGCCGCCCCGCGGCAGCTTGAACCCGTGTCTCTAGTCCAGTGGCCCACACACTCGACGCGGGCGGTGCACCAAAACCCTGATGCGGCACGGTTGCACCACCAGGGACTGGTGGTGACAGGTGATGCACATCTGTTGTTTTCTTGGCAGCACCCGAGCCAGTGTCGTGTGTAGCGCTCGAAGAGGGCCCTTGCTGACCCGCATATGCCATTGCATCCCTCGCGGTCGAGCCTGGCTGCGCCTGCGTTGTCGTCGGAGCAATGGCTGCTGCACCTGGTTGACCCGCGGCTGCTGTTGGAACTCCGGCGGCTGCACCCGTACAACCCGTGGAGGCGGTATGAATCCTGGCTGATGCCCTTGTTTGACCAGTCGGTACGGTAGGATCACAGGCGGCTGCACCTGTCTGACCTGTCGCGGCGGTAGGAATCCCGGCTGCTGCACATGCCTGACCAGTCGCAGCTGGAAGAATAGCACCTGGCTGACTTCCAGCCGATGCTGGCATAACCGCTGCTGCACCTGGCTGTCCAACCCCAGCTGCCCGAGCACCAGAGGAGGCACCTGGCTGACCTGGAGCAGATGGAAGAGCACCAGCTGGTGCACCTGGCTGCGCCGCTACAGGTGGAAGAGAACTCTCAGCGACGCATGGCTGCCCCGATGCGACTGTAGTAATACATGCAGCATCAACCGGCTGACCAGGCGAGGAGGTAGAAGTGACGGCCGTGGGGCCAGAGTGACCCGCCGCAGACTCTGGTGTGCCGGTTGTGGCTCCCTGGCCTTGGACAAAACCTGGCATCGTCGCGGAAATTGGGTGGACGCGCGTATGACGGACCGGTAGAGGAGGCCTGGGGAGCAACGCTCTTGTCAACAAGAGCTTCAAATGATGATCCGGCCGTACAATGCGGCGGTGGGGCTGCATCGGTAGAGATGGCGGGTTCGTTGGTGTTCAAAACCTCTAGGCCAGCAGTCGGCAGCTTGAACCCTATTGTGGCGAGCCCCTGTTCTCCCTTGTAAACCGAGTCTTTCAGGGACTCTACGTCTTCATGCAGGTTCTTGAGCTGCGCAGCAAGGACACACTGCTCCGCCGCCACATCCTTAACCGTTGACTCCTTTATCTCCTCAACTCCAGAATCGCTATCACTGTCATCCCCCCCGTGCTGCTCACTTTGTGGGGGAATTTCGGCCCCCTTCAGTGTCAGAGATTCCAGCAGAGTACCTTCGCTGGCTTCGCACATCAGAGCATGGATTTCGCGTCTGCATTGTGCGGCACTGTAACGGGGATGGGGGATCTCTTCTTCCATGAATTGGAAACCTCGGCCTACAAGCTCCTTGGTGAACATACACACGTAGACCCCGCAGTCCACACCGTTCTGTTGCTAAGGTACCTCGAAGTACTGCAGTAAAAAACATGGAAACAAAAGAAACGCAAGTTTAGATTCGCGTAAAAAAACGGGTCCGGCATGTTAGTTGCATCACGACAGCAAACACAAGTGTGGCATGCTCACCTCAAGAGCACGGCTGCTCACGCGTGTAAGCCTCTCTGTCACTACCACCCATGGCAGATCAGGGTTGGCCTTTTTCAGGGCCCGCCCAAGCAGCCTGCGGATGGATCACGAGGGAAAGGGCATTAGAAAACCGAGGTAAACCGGTGTGCACAAAATACCGTATCTATCCCTAGCAAATTGACGATATATCATAAACTCACTCGTTGATGTTGGTGAAAACTGCCTCGCACATGTCGAAATGCAAGCGTGCGGAGTCGTACAGTACTGCTGATGCCGGTACTGGTGGCGTCAAGGCATCGTATTCCTCCTTACTGAGCAGCAGCAAACGGGGGTCCTTCACAACGACAAGGCTGAAATGATGAACTGGAACTCTGCAAACAACCATAAAGCACGGGAAGTCAGGTTATGCATGCCACGGAGTGGTACGTCAAGTTGTCGCAAACGATTTCCCTGCCTTCCGCAAATTCAGAGTCTCTTACTTGGTGAAAACCACGATGCACAGGTAGTCCGCGCTCGAAGAGAGTCTTGCAGTCGACACCGCATGCTAGCTCCTGTCCCCCGGTGACGGTTTGGTACACGAGCGTGTCTAGAGCCAACCACGTTTTTCCATCAGGTAGGTGCTGGTGAAGAAGGCTCAACACACTGGAACAATACAAAGAATACAGATCGGTTACACGATGGATATGAAAAGTAAAACAGCGCACACGCAGAACGTGTCTCACACGTGGTAAAAGTCGATGGTTGACGTCGTCAGCTCATAGCCATCCTGTATGTGGAGGGCATCCATGATAGTAACCCTCGCTCGCTGGCCGTCTTGGTTTTTTTAACTCATGGGATGGGAAATGCTCACTCTTAACAGACCTAGGTAGCTTATCGATCGCGCAGTCTGGAACTCTGACTCCCTTCGCGAACCTCGATATTATGTCCTCAGGATCGGGTAGTTTATGTACGCCTTCTAATTTGACCGGGACCTTGAATTCAGGGCTCGGAGCCGGCATACTACCACTCGCATCCTACCTGTTTCGGTTTGTTCGTTTCTCCCGCGCGACGGGGAGCTGACTACTAACAGCTTGTTGGCCCTTGTTGCGTGCGGACTGTCTAGCCTGCGTCATCGTGCGCTGACCAACTAACGACTGCGTGAATGTAAGCAGGGGCGGATGGTTTCGAGAGATGTGGAGAGGAGTATGCTATGCTAATAGACTTGGATGAATCAAAAGTAAGAGCAACAATGGTGGTCACTCAATGACGCCAAAACTCTTGGCTCACGAGATGGTGGAAATGGTGACTGGGTGCTTACGAGAGGTTGACGGGGGGGAAGCCGAGGTGAAGTAATGACGATGGAAGGACAGACTGTTGCTCGCATGGATGCAACGGTGCTTAACCCGCCAAATGAAGTCCAAGGTGGCACGCTGTTATTGACTGTAACCCTGACAATGAGGGTTCTCGAATGTCACGCGAGGCAGGTTCGTGCACGCGTGCACGACAAGATATTTCCCTGCCAATTTCATCATTGCCACCGCTGCATGGACAGCCGTGGTCGACAGCGCATAGATAATGACAAAGATGTAATGATGTGTGCAACACTAACAAAGAAATTTGCGCCTGCCCACGAAATCACAGAAAGTGTACTAAAGGTAGAGTTGTCGCGGAAAATCGACCGCGGGAATCGGGCGCGGTCGCACGGCATGGGCAGTGGGAAAGCCACTGCCCATTGGAATTGGAGACGAGAAAGCACCGCGGTTCGTCATTCCCTCAAATTTGAGAGTCGTCGCGTCGCGCAATTATTTCTTCAAGTTGGGAATGGGTTCACTACTCACCAGTTTACTAGCTAGCTTCCGCTCCCTAAGTCCTAGTTTTCTGCCCTAGTAACATACCGAAGAATATCTGAGAACCTACCGTAAGCATTTTTTGTATAAGCTCGTAGTCATTGATTCTATGTGGATGCATATTAGGTTCGTGGGCTATTAGCTCAGTGCACATCGCGCGACACGCAATCGTAGCGGTCCCCGTCACTGTCGGCCCATTTCACTTTCCGCTCGCCCCGGAACACTTCCCGTCACCATCGCCCTCCATTTCTTCTATCGCCCCAAGCGTCACCCTCCTCGTCGCCCTCGCGATCCCCCCCAGTCACCCTTCAAATTGCCCTTCAGCTCGTTCTCCCCGCCACCGTCCATCTTCTCATCATTGCGTCACCCACCCTGCCTCCCTTCCCATCACTGCCTCCTGTTCTCTCTGCCCTCCCGTCGCCCTCCCGTCGCCCTCGCGTCGCCTTTCTCGACGTCCTGCCGTCGCCGTCCCGTCGCCCTCTCGCCTGTCGTTTGTCCCGTCTCTCCCGCGATTGCTCTCGCGATTACCTTCTCGTCCCCTTCCCGTCCCGTCGCTCTCTACTTCTCCTCTCCCTTCCCATCGTTTTTCCCTTCCCCTCCCCACAATTTCACATTCCCATCCTTTCCTGTCACTCTTCTCTCGTCACACTCACAATCACGTCCTCCCACCCCGTCGCTCCCGCACTCACGTTCTCCCTTCTTGTCGCCTTCGCTTCCCATCGGGACCCTCCCTCTCATCTTTTCTGCCTCGCTGTCTCCACTCTCATCACCCTCGCACTCTGTCCTCTCGTCACCGTCTCGTTCTCCCTCAGCTATCGCGTTATCGTGTCCCGTTTCGTAATCTGTTTTTGTTTTTTTAATCGTGCGTGCACACATCACAAAACAAGGCCTACCAATTTGGACCAATATTGGTCCAAATTTGGTCCTAGCTGACCAATATTGGTCCAAATTTGGTCCTCGCTGTTGGACCAAATTTGGACTAGTTGGAAGGTTGGAAATTGGCCAATATCGAGATTGAAATTGGCCAAATGCAAGGATCAAGGGCATGAGCCGGTGGGCTGATTAACAAATCGTAACAAACGTATCGTGTGATCGCCTTCGTGGTAACCAACATGCCTGCCTGCTCAACATTATTGCCTGACAGGTAATGAACAGTGCATTTCGAACTCCAAACTGGTAACTGATCATTTCAACCGTATTGTACACCGTACGTACACACTATAACTCGGCAAAACGTCAATCGTTAAGAGAAAATGGTTTGTGTTGTAGTAGATTTACATGTATAACTTGAACATGTGAGTCTGAAATGAAAACAATAAAGGCTATGTACATCTGTTGACAGACTATTGTTGCGCTATATTCTAGAAACCCAAAGTGTCAGAATATTATGCTCTAGCCTGTAGTGGGGTGCTCTATAGCGAGTACAACCCTTCTAGGGTTTGCTATTTGTATCCTCATTCTTGCTAGTGCAATCCTCCTCTCTTCTTCCTTTTAAACTTTCACATGCTATCAGAGCAGGTCGATCCCCTTGGATCGATCCTGTGGGTGGGCTCACCACCTCGTTGCTTTCCGCTGCAACTTCCACTGCTACCCTCTGTGCCGCACGCCCCGTGGCGTGCGGCAGTTTTTTTCTTCCCGCCGTGCGCCCCGAGGCGCGCGGCGGTTTTTCTGCCCGCTCGTGCGCCCCGTGGCGCGCGGCGGTTCTCTGCCCGCTGTGCGCCCCGAGGCGCGCGGCGGGCTTCTGCCCCGTCACTCGGCGCGTCGCCCTCGGGAGGCGCTGCGACGGGCGACGGGGACCCGCGCGTCGCCCCCCGTCGCCCGTCGTGGCCTGCGCGCGGCCCGTACAGGCTGCGCGCGGCCCGTAAGGGCTGCGCCAGGCCCGGACGCGGCCCGTACGGGCTGCGCCAGGCCAGCGCGCGGGCCCGTACGGGCTGCGCCAGGCCCGCGCGCGGCCCGTACGGGCTGCGCCAGGCCCGCAGCTGCGGCTCGGGCCGCCTGCGCGCGGTTCGGGCGGCTGTGCCAGGCCCGTGGGCGGCCCTTTCCCCTCGCTGCCCCTGCCCTCCCCGCTGTCCCCCCGTGCTTCTAACTAGCGCCCACCCCTCCTACAGCCCGTTCTCCTGAATTAGGTGTTTGGGGTGAGGGGTATGGGGGTGAAGCCACTGTGTGCCGTTCCCTGCTCCTCCTCCTCCTCCGTCTCCCTGTGCTGCAGCTGCCGCTGAGGGGGGGTGGACTTGTTGGAGCCATTGGAGTGGTACTAAGGGGGGGGTGAAGGGGGAGTGGAGCTAGCGGTGTAGCAGCGGGTGTGTGTCAGGGGGAGTGGGATAGTTTGGGAGGTTGAAGGTGGTGGCCGCCGTGAAGCCAGCAGCTCCAGTCGCCCGTGAGACCGTTGCGCCAGTCGCCCGTGAGCCCGTTGCGCCAGTCGCCCGTGAGCCCGTTGCTCCAGTCGCCCGTGAGTCCGTTGCTCG